ATTGTGGAATAATACTAAATAAATAAGAAAAGTTGAATTTTTCAACACTTTATGCAATCAGTCCCTGTTTTCTTCTTTTCACGTATAAGATTTTGGACAAATTCTGCTTCATATGAATAAGAAACTCAGACCATTTGACATCATAGACACTGCTTCTTTAATAATAATGGTGCTCACAAATTTTCCTATCTTCTCATTGTCATCTGCAAACTTACTTTGCTAAAACCATTGTGATTCTACACACAAGTACATGCATGTAATCTGAAGCTAATATCAAAAAGATGAGTTCCTTATTGACAACCAGCAATCTGTTGAAATTCCTATGGGGTAATTGTGCCCCTTTATCAGCAGACCTGTTTTTGTATACTCATGAAGCAGAATTGATTTTAAAACTTTTACACGAAAAGGAGACATCTCTTGCCGCGGCTTTCGGTTCGACATTGAGATATATCGATAACGTTTAACAATGAACAATACTAATTTCATTCATACCGGTACGTTGATTCGATATATCCAAATTGAATTCTTTTCTAGAGAAAGACATTGATGGCAAACTAACAACTAAATTTTATGATTAACGCGATGACTTTGACATTTCTATCGTCAACTTTCCTTATTTATTTAGCAATATACCATTATCACTTGCATATCGGGTTTGTGTCTCCCTAATAATTGGACAAGAGCATGTACTATGTACGAACAAATAAGTTGATGATATAAGGATGTCAATGTCTTTACTATGTACGAACAAATAAGTTGATGATATAAGGGTATCAATGATCTCATTTATAGTCAACATTTTGCAAATTCTATGGTCGATACAATAACCTTGATTACAAAAGCAATCTAATTAGGTCGGTTGACTGGCGTCTTTCATACAAATTGATGTGCCACTTTTTCATACTGAATTGACTGCGTATTTCTGCATTTACCCGATCATGACAAAGGGCAAGCGGCGGGTGTGACCCATCGACAGGGAAAGCTTACTCCTCCATGGCATCTGATCCCACCTCTGATGTATTAAAAGTTTGCTCTGCTCACAGTTTGTTTTGTTTTATTGGACTCTTCAACATGATAACTATTCGTTGTCTTCACTTTTCATGGAAATGTTTAAGTCATCTGTTTGTCATACAGTTTAGATGTTAGTTGGTCATTATCGTCTACAGTCAGAAAGACACCCAAGTATGACAAAGATGTTGCAGATTCTGTTGTGTCTTTTATTTTGAGTTCACTGGGATATATCGAGTCAACATATGAATGAAAGTAATTATTGTTAATTGATAAAACGTCATCGATATATATCTGAATGTGGAGTTAAATTCCACAGCAGGATTTTTCTTAATTGTTCTCATGTAGAATTATTTGAATAAAGTCTGCTTCATAGGAAAATAAAAACAGGTCTGCTAATAAAGGAGCACAATTAGGTCCCATCGAAATTCCAACAGACTGTTGGAAGACAAGGTCTCCAATGACTACATAGATCTTGTGAAAAAGGAACTCTGGCATATTTCTAATATCAACCTTAGGGTACTTGTTTGTAGAATCAGACTGTTTCTAAACAAATTAATTGTATAGTGACCAGTCACAAGACAGGAATATTCCCAAGTTCCATTTTTCTTGAAGAAGCCGTTCTATGATATCAAAACACCTCATCTTAATATATCGTACAGAATGGCTGTATAAAGTGTTTAAAAAATCATACGTTTTGGCATTACTGACTATGGGTGGGGGTGTGGTTTTAATTGTTTTAAAAATGTGAAAGTTTGTCATAGATTTTAAAATCTATAATTTATATGATTTACACAATTTCATGTATATGTTGAAGCATAGTGCGTTTTCAGTTTCACCTTCACAGCAATTAACATTTTTGTTAGAAGTAAAAATAGGGAATTGGTAGAGCTTATATGCTGAAACATGCATGTATCTTTGTAAGGACTTTCTTGAAGTTTAAGAATCCAGCATAAATAGGATAAATCGAATTCACTTTCATTGACTGGAATGTGAGGACCATTTAAAGACTGAAGAGTGATTTTGAGAAATTTCATCCTTAGAGAGTGAACCTTGGAGTATAAGTATGAGTTGAATTTAAAAAAAAAATAAAAACAAAGTTCTTCCAGCAGATCACTAAATAGATATCCTTGAAATGTGTAGGTAAATCAAAGTTATGCAGAGATATGAATTCTGCTGTTTTACAAATCTAATTCGCAATCAATTGATTAAAATTTATGTATCAAATAACAAGTAAATACTGTAAAACTGCATGATTATTTTTGTACAGTTTTGCTGTTCTATTGTCCTAAGTACAGTGCGATAAAGGGGCCCTTTAGATGGTCATTCTAGTACAATTTGTAGTTATAGTTACATCTTTAATAACTTTTGTCAAAGAAGACCATGAAGATATAAGGTGTACGGAACAACAACTGTATTTTCAGAATGCTATACATGTACATGTATATAGGATTACTGACTTCAGACCAATTTTATTATTATGCTATAAGAATTTCAAACTCTTAAACTGATCAATATATTGATAGTTTCACGTACATATAATCATGTATAACAAACTTCCAGATCGAACAAAACGGGCAAAACGTTCACGTTGAAGTTGGGGGTAAATATTTAACAGGGTCAATTTTCAACGCGTTTATGTCATAAGTGTCGAAAAAATTACCAAGATGTTAAAAAATGATCCCGGGTATAATGTCCACGACCTTTGGTCTCAATTTTCAACGTTGAAAATCACCCCTGGTTCAATATTCAACGTTGAAAAATGAACCCCTGGTCACTTTTCAACATGGGTCAAAATCCATCGTTACACCGGCTATAAATGTCCATGAGAAAAGAATAAGTTTTTGAAAATTGTATGAATTTTGATGGGTTTCTCAGAGAGGCAAAGATCACGAAGTTCACTTTCTTTTGTTTCCCTATACCCATGGATGTAATGAATGAAATTTGTTTGAAATCGGTTCAACTTTTCTAAAGAAAATGTTGAAAAACGACGCAATTCATTTTCTAAATTGTTTGTGAGAACTGAGAAATAATGTCTAAAAAGAACCAAGTTTATCAGTAATGCTCGACTTAAAGATAAAATCCCACTCGAAAGAAGAATATGAACAGGGCAATCAGAAGTTTCTGGTCATTGTATGATAAATACATCTATAAAACTATACATTGCGATAACTGTGCAAACAAATAAAAATAAATCTTTCAAGTATTAAGCATAATTCATACATTCATATGTAAACTTTTAAACCTCAAGTAATGTTTAGAAAACATATCTCTTATTTCTAAAGTTGCATTTTGTTTTTTGTTTGTTTTTTTTTACTCTTGTCTTTAAGACTTTGCCGATTTTTTTCTTCTCAAGTTTGAACTGCTGCATGGAATTTCAGTATCCGTACGTTCTTGAAAAAAATGAAATATTCTTCATATTTTGATATATTCCTGGCATAGATTCAGCATTCACTAATTTTTACTATAAAATGGTATTTTGTATTACAAAGATTTACAAGTAGAAAATAGAGATCATTCTATGTAATATTTAAAGAACGAAGGCGCACAAGGCGAGGACAATCCCGCTCTGAGAAAAGACATTTCTCAATCCTAAAAAAATTATGAAAAGTTATATTTTTCAAAAAAGTGTATTGTCAATATCATCTTTTACACATTTGCTTCCTTTATTTTATTGAAAAACTTACTGTTAAAAAAAATCACCAATGATTTTAAGGTATGTGATAAGAAAAAAAAAATCAATTATGCTATTAAGGTTTATGAAAAGAAAAATAGCCTCACGCATGATTCGAACTTTCTTCAAATAGGAGTAAGACTGACTGCGTTAACTACTACGCTAAGTCTTCTTGTCATTGCTGTGTGTCAGTGTGCTTAAAATAAACAACTTTGTTGACATATATACTTTTTCAGAAATGTTCGATTTTCATATAGAATGGGTTCAGACTCCATTTTTTAAAAAAAAATATAAATCAGATTTTATATTTACTTTTCCGTCATTTAACTTTTAATATAGAATGGACCCGACCCATTCGCATTCAAAAATCATTTTCATGGCTCCAATATACCCACGTTCCACTAAATATGCTTAACTGTCAACTTAAACAAAATATCAATCAATAAGTAAATCAATAAAATAAATGAGTCAAATGTGTGGAAGATGACATTCCTGACAAAATAATTTTAGAAAATTTAACTTTTCCATGAACTTTGAAATTGACAAACATATTGTCTCAGAGAGTGGGATGGTCCTTGCCTTGTACGCCCTCTTTCTTTAGGTTAGCGTGTGTCGATCTCCTATGCAGTGTTGTCGTTTGTTTCTGTCTCGGGGCTCGCGTCAAGGTTTTTTTAATAAAGTAAAATAGATGATATTCCAGGGATTAATTCTAATTAAAATAATAAAAGTTCTAGATGTATCTACCTTAAAGGACAAACACATAGAAAGCATTTAATACATTTATTGCGCTAATCCCTGAGATACACACGAGTCAAAGACAGGGGTGAATGTACAAGCCGATGCCCCATTTTGCATTGAACAAATAATAATTGCTTTTTTGTAGGGAATTGCAGCTTTTTTTTTTTAACCATTTCTGAAATTCGCCCACCCATAGTTGTATTTTTTTTTAATTTAAGAGGATCCTGAATATTTAGTTTTGCCTCTCCCTCCAACCCTTATAATTAATCAAATTCTTTCTTTTCAAAAATATGCTTAGACTTGCTGTCTCTTAATATGAATTAGGTTTTTCATTTGTCAGTTACCAGAAAAGGTATATACCGTTTAAAGATTCAGAAAACACGAAAAAATTGAGATTAGAATATTTGAGCGTCTCGTCCCTACCAATAAAATTGCGATTTGAATCATCTATACACTTCGCATTTATTTGGGAAGATAAGTGTTCTATCGATAATTTTGGAGATAATGTGTCATTTAAACTCGATTTAAGGGAGCAGAATATGGTGTACATTTAAAATTATTCTCCATACTTTTTCTTAAAATGGAAATGATAGTTCGATCATTATTCCTATTCGTTTTCATACCAGTTATCAATAGCTACTGGTTTGTTCAAAATCGCTATACAGGCTCATTACAGGAAGGAGAGTAAGTTTTCATCAAAATTTGAAATTAATTGTGTTTTTATACAGAGTTTTATGTTTATGACTCCTTTGCTTTTACTTGCAGGGTAAACGTTGTGAGATATCAACAATCTTACACGGAGACTTATTACGTAAAATGCCATTTCTGGCACATGGGCAGATGCACGCGATATAGGTATGGTTTGAATTCTAAAATTCAGGCAGATTGGCCTTTCGCTTTGAATATATGGAATAGAATTCAAATTAAGGCCTCAGGGGCTTGGCAAATAGAATGGTCCATTTTTTTTTAAATATGCAATGTCGTTGCTTAATATTTCTTAAGATGTGTTGATATTCTTGCTGTAGGCACTTTTTGTTATCATTTTTACCTAACTTACAATCAGTGCTTTTGAGTCTGATCCCCTTATTATCAGTCCCCTACCGGTGAAACCGGAGGGGACTATAGGTTTCCTCTGAGTCTGTCCGTCCGTCCGTCTGTCTGTCTGTCTGTCCGTCTGTCCGTCTGTCCCTCTGTCTCTCTGTCAGTCTGTCCCACTTGGTTTTCCGCACTTTTTTCCTAAACGCTTGCAGATATTGAGCTGATTTTTGGTATGTGAGTGTATTTTGATGAGTTACAGATCAAGTTTGCATTTCGTTCCGCTTCATTGATTTTTGACGGAATTATGACATTTTCAATTTTTAACGGGAACCAGATTACACTTGCCGGTAGGGGACTAGTATTGCTAATGCAATACTCTCAGAATGCTTGTTGATCTATGTGAACTTATTAGTCCCCTACCGGTGAAACCGGAGGGGACTATAGGTTTCCTCTGAGTCTGTCCGTCCGTCTGTCTGTCTGTCTGTCCCTCTGTCTGTCTGTCAGTCTGTCCCACTTGGTTTTCCGCACTTTTTTCCTAAACGCTTGCAGATATTGAGCTGATTTTTGGTATGTGAGTGTATCTTGATGAGTTACAGATCAAGTTTGCATTTCGTCCCGCTTCATTGATTTTTGACGGAATTACGGCCTTTTCAATTTTTAAGGGTTTTCCGAAATTTTCTTCTAAACGCTTGTAGATATTGAGCTGATTTTTGGTATGTGGCTTTACCTTGATTAGTTATAGATGAAGTTTGCATTTCGTCCCGCTTCATTAATTTTTTATGGAATTATGGCATTTTCAATTCTTAACGGGAACGGAACCAGATTACACTTGCCGGTAGGGGACTAGTATTGCTAATGCAATACTCTCAGAATGCTTGTTTTAGTTGTTTTGAACCAAACCTAGCAAAATCTAAGCAAAATGAGCCTGTTTAGCATTAGAAGACAACAAGCATTCTGAGAGTATTGCATTAGCAATACTAGTCCCCTACCGGCAAGTGTAATCTGGTTCCCGTTAAAAATTGAAAATGTCATAATTCCGTCAAAAATGAATGAAGCGGAAAGAAATAAAACTTGATCTGTTACTCATCAAGATACACTCACATACCAAAAATCAGCTCAATATCTGCAAGCGTTTAGGAAATAAGTGCGGAAAACCAAGTGGGACAGACTGACAGACAGACAGACGGACAGACAGCTAGACAGACGGACGGACAGACTCAGAGGAAACCTATAGTCCCCTCCGGTTTCACCGGTAGGGGACTAAATAAATTTTGAATAGCGGAAAAAGGGTTGCAAAAGACTTAAAGCAAATACGTCGAAGGATCAGAGCTATGCATGAGGGAGATAATCATTAATTTTTAAATTAATTTCTAAATTTTACCACAGCAATTAAATATATATCCGTATTTTCAAGCTAGTATCAAAGTACTTAGCTACTGGGCTCTAGAAATCCTCGGAGACTAACAGTCCACCAGCAGAGGCCTCGACCCAAGGGTCATAATGTAAATCATATACGGTACCAATTTTAATGCACAAGATGCTCATTTCGACAAATTATGTCTCTTCAATTTTACAGGCCAGTTTTTTACCATTCATTAATTTTTTTCTAGATCATAGTTATTAAGTTTTTCTAAGTCCTGTAAGTTTTAGAGGTATCATCTGCAAATAGTCTAGAGAGACCTAAGAGTTCACATGGTAGGTCATTTATATAAACTAAAAAAGAATAGGCCCAAGAACAGAACCCTGGGGAACTCCTGCTTTCCTTCTTCCGATTGAAGCGCTCGCTCCGTGATCGGGAGGTCGTGAGTTCGAATCTCGGCCGCGACTGACCTAAGTCGATAAAAAATGGGTAGCAAATGTTCTTTCGCCATACGCTCGGCACTTTGAAGTGAAAGTTGCGGGTCCTTCGGATGAGACCTTAAAAACCGAGGTGCCGTGTCACGGCAGGCGTTGGCACGATGAAGATCCCTCACTGCTCAATAGCCCTGAGTGCCGAGTAAAGGTCAAAATTTGAAGCCCTTCACCGGTATATGGTGACGTCTATGAGTGAAAAATTCTCGAATGGGACGTAAAACAATACACACTCAATCAATCAATCAATCTTCCGATTGAAAGAACTTGAGGATTTTATTTTGACCTGTTGTGACCGACTAGTAAGGTAATCATTTGACTATGCAATTTTTCTGTGTTTCACTGGAATTCATTAGATTTTATGGCTTCACTATTCTTAAGCTTTAAGAGAAAACGGGGCAATCAAAAATCTCAAATAAGGAAACAAGAATTTTAAAAAATTTTAGTGTGTTCTACCATATTTTTGCTAATAAAAAAACAATATTTATTTTTATATGATCAGAATACTTGAAATTAAGAAATACAAAATTTTACAGCTAGCTTTCTCATTTATATGTCATTTTCATTGCTAACCATTGATTTTTTTTTTTCTTTTTTCTTTTCCTTTAGTTTTAATTTTTTTTTGTAAACTGGAAGGTACCTTTCAAAAGAGTTAAAGATTATTATTTACCACGGCCCAATGTCGCAGGTGCTATGAAATCTTAACTAATAGGAAATCATAAATAAAATTTCAAATTATGTTTTAATTCTATATACTTTGACTACTACATATACTTGAATTTCAGATTGTGTTTTCTTTACTAGCATTTTGTTCATTTATTTCAATAAATGACCTATTCTATTCTTTAATGGATGCTATTGCTTTTATTTAGTAAAGACTGACAAATATAAATGGTTATAAATCTAAATGAAAATCGTAGACACATGCAAAATAATTAGAGGAATCAGTGTATGAAAGTTTGTTCTGGTTGTTGTTTGTTGTTACTAAAGATTTTTTAGCACTATTGTGACATTACTGTACAATGGGTTTCTTGATGCTGTTATTGAAAGACCTGTCACAATCTTTGCAGCGATCAATTGATTTTTTTCTATTTTTTTTTTCTACCAAAGAACAGCCTGATCAAACTTCAACGACATACATGTACTTTATTTTAGATGTTTGGTCTTCCATGACGACAATTTAATTTTGAAGAAAGTGTCTCTTGATACCAAAAATTTAAATTTGCTCAATGATAAGTGAATTTTCCAATTTTAAAATATATATGTCTGTCATTTTCATCTTTTAACGGGACAGAGTGAACACTAAAGTCTACTTCTGACGGTTTCATTTTTTAACAGAACAGAGTATTACCCTAGTCTACGGTGTAAACCAGGTTATAGAAGTTACTATGATTATCCCCGGGGATGCAAAAATGGTCAGTTGATAAAAAAAATCACTTCAAAATATATTGTTCAATAATATTTTATATTTATGTACTTTTTTTAATATTTAAACCATTTCTGAATGCTTTTACACGTAGCAATATGCAACGGACAAATAACCAAAACTGGAGCGTGCGCTAACTCGAAGCGGATCCTAACTAGAAAAGGAGTATACAGAACTGAGATTAGTCAAGGTGAATGTGTCTTACCAGAAAAGTGCAGTTGTAAATCAAATAACTTCTATGGCGATGGAGCTTTTTGCAAAGGTAAGAGCTGTTGCATGCAAAAAAGAAGGTTAAACAGATATCAATTTACTATGAATATGGAGATAAACACCTAAATTCTGATCTAACTACTTCTGAAATTTCCAGGAGGTCCGTGTTTTATGCCCTCTTCACATATCTGTATTGTTTGTGGATTTGTTGAGATCGATCAATGTTCAGGGATGGGGTCGATTACTTTCAAAAGTAATCAATTATATTACAATTACTTTGGATTTAAAAGTAATCGATTTCAAGCTGATTACAGTCATTTTTTAAAGTAATCAATTACATCTGATTACTTATCTATCATGTTATCATGATTACTTGTGATTACTCTAAATTACATTAATTTGAAAAGGATATGCATTTTTCTGCAACAGCTGCAACATTAATTCCCAAAGTAACAACCAAAGAAAGCATTTTATTGTTTAAAATTACGATTACTTGTAGTAACCTTATGTGGGTTTTTAATGTATGTGCAACAAGATATTACTATCTACTAATTTTATTGGTATACATATAGTTTTCTTGATAATTGAGGAAAACAACACCCCCCCCCCCAAAAAAAAAAAAAAATTCAAACAAATGAACAACAGCACAACAAAATACAAACAAACCAAAGAAGTCTCTTTTTCGTAACGCTCCAAATATATCATTTTAACCTTTATTATAATATATCCCTTTCGCTTGTGAAACTACCGGAGTACCTCAAATAGTTTATTGCCTTTTGTTGCCAAGATGTCTGACGGTTAAAGAATATTATGCATAAAAATTTTGAAAATATAATTATATATTTTTCAATTACTGAAATTAAAAATATAAATCTTTATTTATAGAATGCCCAGCAATCCAACATTGTCATGAATCACAGTGTACAAAAGTTACTGACAATATATGTGTGTACTGTGACGGAGAGGTGGAAGACAGGGAATTCTTCAGAGCTTACACAAGGAAACCAAGCAGCGGCAAACTCTGCGAGCGTATGTCCTTTTTACCTAAAAAGATATTTCAGGCCTGGTCAGTGATAAATGAAGATTTTTATTCTGTCTATTAAAAAAAACCTATTGAATTGACTGTTTTTATGCTTAAAAATATTAAAGAACGAAAAAGTCATGTTTCGGTATAAAATGCATATAGTAATGAGAAATGAGATGACGCACAGAATGTGCACGTTCAAGTTGTAAAGAAATAGGCACAAAGGAATACTGCTCACTACATTTCTGTAATAAAAGTGTTGTTATGTCAGTACAATGTAAACACTTAATGTATCTCTATTCAGTTGTAAAAAAAAAATAAATGATCGTAGTGGGAACAAAAGTTGTGGTTTGGAATGAGCTTTACTCTCTCTACGTAAGGCGTTAACATTCAACTCTATTTACATACTCTTAAAACCTTTTTTGGCTTAAATACTATACATTCAAACATTGGCACTGGCAATGATATTCTTTTTTTTTTTAATTGGATTTGTTGAACAGGGGCGGTCATCTCGGGTAGTGCGCGCTTTTAAAAAATTGTTCGACAGGAAGATGAAATACAATTCAGTTCGGATGGATTTTTAATGCTACATGCGTGATAAAAAATCCTTCATAGTGTACTTTGATTTTTTTCTGAAAATTTTCAAATGCAATGTTCCACTATGACTAACTTAAAATGATAACTGTATGTTTCCTTTCTTGAGTAAAAAGATTTTGACACCATCGACGCACATCTCCTTAAAAAAGTGACCGCTGTGATTTGATATGAAATTGGAATATTTTGAATAAATAAGATAACAATTTTTTAAGGTTTTTATAGAGTTTCAGGCTCCCCAAAACAATCTTTTTTTAGAGGCTTGTTCCTGGAGACCTGATAGTACTCGATGTTTTCCTGGACGATGTGACAAAGAATTGGCTTCTAATTGTAAATGTATACAAGGCTTTGCTGGTCATCATTGTGAAATAAGTATGTTATGTTAATTTTTACATCTCATTCCATGTATAAAGTATAGTTAAGTCTTACCATTATAAAGCCAAACAAGAGCAGATAGTTGTTTTGGCAATTTCACATGTGTGTTTTTTTTTGGTTACAAAATTGTACCGATCCATAACATCCAAAGGCTTAAATGGAATTAATGAATTTTACTAAATTGTTGTCCAACTTTCTCAAATGTTGCACAATCTAAATCAATTTTACACTTGATGTGTTTAACTCTAAAATACTTATTTTCTACTTGTTTACTTTTTAAAAATAATTAGAATAATACAGAGATATCCTTTTTCACCCACATTTTCTGAATTCGTGTATATTGTTGTTACCCCTGTCCATCTGTCCGTCCACCACCTATATCTTTAGAGGTAGCCAAATTTCCTTACATGTTAAAGTAGCCTGATGTTGTAGGTGTGCAATAACGTTTTGAAACTTCGAGTTTTCATTCCGAAATAATCCTTTATGAACTTGTTTTCCAAGTGACTGATCAGGTTCGTATTTCTGAAACATTTTATTGCAAGTCAATCAATGTCCAGACTTGTGAAGATTTCTGCTAAATTCTTTTTTTACAGTGCAAGATTATGCGACCATCAAATACAGCCTCTGTACTTTAAAAATGGACGACGTTTACATGCTAGACAACCCAAAAGACCCGAATGCGTTGAACTCTACAGAAATTATTTGGACCAAGGAAACATACTGGAAAACTGCCAAGACGAAATGGGATGGGATGTATGTCCTAAAAGAATCCATTGTCAAGAAGGATGACCATTATGTAAAAGAATTTAAATATGGCATCGTTCACGCAAGTTCCTCTTTAGAATATATATCGGGAGCACCTGATACAGATGGAAACGTGACAGAATTCAACGTCATTAATCTGGAATATGAATGTCCTGGGCCAAGCAACAACGATCCAATCTCGTCGTCTTTCATATGTGAAAAAACTTTTGAACTGGAAAACATAATGACATTTCAACACAACGACACGTAATTATAATCTGAATAATATTAAGAAAAATAGGAACATACAGAAGTAAACACATGATCATTAATCAAAACATCACATGAAAGTACTAGTAATCGGTACTAAAGCAAATCCAAACAAATTATTTCTTTTACCAGGTTGCTTTTTAAAATCCATGCTTCAATTGGTGGCTATGTTAAAATACTAAACCGAGAGCAAAAGGACAAAGAAGAACGACATGACTTTAAAGGAACAACAAAGGAAATTATTTTTACTTACCGATGGGACACAGAATTACCCTATCACTGTATACAGGAAATCAACAAAACAGACTGTCCAGATTTCTTCACTGCACCAGACCTGACAGAAACTGTAAATAACTATTAGAGAGGTTGTAGCACTCCTTGAGAGGACTATCTCACTCTCATTCATATTTCAGGGCACAAAATATTTTCTATAAAATATAACAAAATTTATTCGAAGTATTCCTGTGAATGTGATTAAAATTTGCACCATGATTGAGTTTAAATCTTTCGAATTTTTTTTTATAAAGCCTACCTTCCTAGCATCTTGGGATGGATGGACTGATGATCTTGCAGGTCTTCACATATTCGAATATGAAGTCTACGAACTAATTACTTTACATTCCAGTTTACAAGAAGCCACTCGTTTAAAAACAGGAAATGTATCACAAGTTTATAATTCAGTAAGTTGTATACAATTGTATAATTATATTAGGAATTTCGATATACATATATGAATTATTTTTAAGAAATACTGCTCTACATTATTCTCTCATTAGATAAATGGTCATCTGAATGTAAAACAAACAAAATCAAGCATTAGTTGAACATTTTACATGCAGTTTTTTTTACAGCTTAACATTACACTGAGTAATCCAGGAATGTATGCAATACATTTTACTGCTGTCGATAAAGCAAAAAATGTCAAGACTTCCAGAAAACTGGTTTTCTTCGATGACATATCCAAAGTTACATTTAAGGACGGAAAAGTGAGTAGGGTAGAGACTGCCACCGCAAATACCAATTTTACATGGGTAATTCAAGACACAAACGTGGTTCTGGTGACGTGGAGAGATAGGTTTCGGAATCAAAGGCATGAAAGCAACAGGTGGCTGAATGCAGTAAAGCCCTACAGAAATATAGAGGATCTTTACGATGATCACACTGGTAAACGAAGCATCGAGGAGGTGCCAAATGTACACGGTAGGTATATGACAAATTTTTAACATACTACAGTTTGTCTCAAGGATTCATTAGATGTGTATATGTTTATCAATTAATCCTTAGCTTTTGAAATGAAATTTTGAACAAATATCATTGCTTTCTAATTTTCAGGTTGTGTTGACTTCTTGGTTTCTTTTATAATTAAAAATAAAACTGGAATAAAGACTTCCAAAAATTTTACTAACGTCCATGATATTGAAGACGAATCGGAATTTCTAACTTTGAACTGGACTGATGGTGATAAAGCCGATATAACTGTTCGAGCTGTGGATATATTTGATAAGTTTCTAGACGAGACGGTGACAATTTACCGTGATGCATCGCCTCCACACATAGAAAACTTATGGTTAACTCGGGGAGATAGATTAAATATCAGCGTTCACAACATGGAAGATTTTGCAAAGATGACGTAAGTGTCCTTTTCTTAAACTTCATGCAATTAAAATCTCTCCAAAATTATTGCGGTGTTTTATTTAAAGAACTTTACTTTAGAATCGAGTGGATTGCATATGACTTCCATAGTGGACTTCAAAGCATATCTTGGAGATTGTTTGATAACTACACGGGAGAAAGTGTTCTTCATGGTCATGATGATATACCAGTACAAGGCATGGCAAAGGTATGTGATCTTAACCAACTGTAATTTAAACACAATTGGCCTCCCTGCTTTATATGCTCTTCCTGTGTAGGACCTAGACGATTGTAACCAGAAATATAGCAACTACAGCAGAGGGCCAAACTGCTACCAGACACCCTTTTTTGGGGCATATCACAAGCATTTCCAAGTGCAGCCAAGCATTAAGGTCCATGGAGGACTTCTTATTGGAAAAGATCTCGGAGTTCATGACAGCGACTATTACCTGGAAATTAATGCCACAAACACAGCACTTTTGTCGACAGTGTTGACTAAAAAGGTAACTCAGCATGAAAGATATATAAATACAAATACATAAGAAATACCTCGGACTTTAGTGAAATACTATAGACTTAAAAGAACTTGAAGGATAAATTACATCAATATTTAATATAGAACTTTTACACGGTTTTTTTTTTGTTTTTTTAATAAAATGTAGATAACAATCGACACATCACCTCCTCATGCTGGTTTCGTCCAAGATGGCATCAAAGGTTCAGGGGAGGTTGATTTTCAACAAAGTAAGATCTTGCACGCTTACTGGGATGGTTTCTTTGACAGAGAGAGTGGTGTACTGTTTTATCAATACGCATTTAGTCGTCAGCCATTACATTCTTCGGAATTCAGACTTGATTCAGGAAACACAATGGTATTTACATTCAAAGAGAATTATTTACTATGTGACATTCAATCCAGAATTCATGGTCTAATACACATTTTATCTCTTTCTTGGTCTTCAATTAGCTTGTCGAAACCTACTCTCTTCATGCTACTCTCAATGTATCTAACGAAGGAACGTACTATGCATGTGTAGTAGCCTACAATAGAGCATTGGAACCATCCAAGTCTGTGTGCTCCGATGGAGTAACCATAACAACTGCAGTTCCTAAGGTTAGAGAGGTCTATATCTCAAATGCCTACATCCGAGGCGGTTTGATTACTGACGTCAATCAAACAATTTTTTGGGAAGTAAACAACGCGAGGTACCGTCGAAGAATCACTGCACCTACAACAGATTGCAGGTATGACTTTTTCACCTAAAAAATGAATGAAAAAAATTATCTTATTGAGATAATTCATAAGAAATTCTCTTAATTTTTAGAAACAAGGCCAGTACTGTAGCTGATATAGATCTTTTACCAATCCTCTACCGAAAAAATGGGTCCATTGATGAGGTCCAAGGTCTTTTGTTCTGCGGAAATACGACTAGTGCTTCACCTACCCTGAATCCAATACTAGCTAAAGCATCCCATGTACGTGTTTTTCTTTTTTTTTATGTCATGTTTGAAAAGCAGAAATAAAAATAATGATTTTTTTCTTCAATCTTTTTTCATAGGTAACTCTTTCATGGTCTGCGGACAATACAAGCGTTCATGATTATGAGGTGGGTCTTTCGTCAACTTCTAGAAGTTCTGCTCCGGACATCATGGCTTTCAGATCCACCAAACAACACCGGCGTATCCACATTATGCATACAGACATACCAGAGGGAACGCCTTTCTACATTGTAATCAAGTCTATCAGTAAGGCAAATGTTGAAGGATTGCAGGTATATGCATACTAGTATTATAATCAGAACAATATTCACTTCACATTTCTTTATATTTTCCCAAAGTGTCTTCTAACCAGAGAGATGCTATGGATCTTTAGTTTAAACATATACACTTTTCAGTATATCGGACCATGTTATCTAGACACAACAGGTCCAGAATTTACACCTCCAATTCGAGTATCGCACTCAAAAGGGTATTTGGTGGCTACCTGGAACCATGCAGCGTTTATGGACGCTGAAGATCCCTATCCACTTCTATTACAGTTTGCTGTTGGTTAGTTAATTGGAAGTTTTATTTTCTGCGGTATTCAAATGATAATATTGATCTTTAATCACGAAAAAATTGCGGGGTTCAAAATAATGATACTATTGATAATAGAAATATGAATATTAGAGATTGCAAATTGTAATCCGGTTTACCGCTTACTCAGTCGGAACGGTGGTAATCAGAGAATTGGTTATCGGTGAATTGGAAAAAAATGAAATATGATGGTAATTTCTTTGAAATTCAACTTTTGAAAAAAGTCTGAAAGTTGATAACTTATCAATTTTACATATAAGCTGATTTAATTACATGTAAAACTCTCTGAAAGGATATTAGGGGAGGGGGGGGGGGTAATTGGTAGATTGGTGAATAGCTTATTACTGATTTATCACCAAGTCGTTACCAAGCATGTCATATATTTCGTAAATGAAATTAATCAAATCACTAAATAGTACTGTGGAAGAAGATAAGGGTGAATTACAAAATAATGACCGATAAATTGAATTTTTTTCTTTAAAAAATTCAAATTCAACTTACCAAAAGATATTTTTGAATTAAAACATCATACTGTATATTCATTCTAGTGAACATTTCTGAAGTGGCAATAGAATAGACAAATGCATAAAAAAGTTTTAACTATTCTGTAAATTGTACTTTAAATGTCCAAAATGTTTGATTTCAATTACAATTAGTATCAAGCATTTTCTGCACTTTATTTTTTTAGTAAAGCTAGGTGAAGTTCATTGATAATTATAAAACAGTTTAGTTGAACTCCTGACTGCAGTAAAATTTTAAATTAAAATCATACAACACAAAAATTCATAAAGTTATGGCAACATCAAGTTGTAAAGAATTGTGCAATATTTATATTCCCAATACTTCATGGTTAAAAATTGGCTTTATATCTTGATTTATTCCGTATTTATATCACAAAACTAGCTGAAGAAGATAAAAGTATATATATATATATTCATAGTTTATCATTGATAATTTTGAACATTTTGATGCACACTTGACCAAGAGCATGTGAGTCTTTTTAACAGAAACGTGAAGCACAATTCACCCCACAACATGTTCTGTCATTTTAGTGAAGTTGTGGTGGACTGATTTGAATTTTATAACAATTTTTCAGTGTGATTGCTTTTTAACTTCAGAAAAAAAAAAATGAAAAGATAAGATAAAACACATCTGGATTGATGAATTAAAAAAAAAGACATATTTCAATAATAAAACTTTCAATAATTTAGTATTAAATTATACAAACAGCTCCATATTAATCAAAGAATACTTGTTAGAATGAATAGAAGTAACGTCGCCCGCGTGGCGCATTGGTTAGAGCGTTCGCTCTAGAGTCGCGGAGTAAGGAGTTGATCCTTACGTCGCGGGTTCGAATCCCACTGTGGGACGTGGAGACCGGTCCGTTAAATGAGACCGTATAAACCGAGGTCCCATGTCGCATTAGGTGATGGCACGAAAAAGATCCCTCACTGCTCAATGGCTCTGAGTGCCGAGTATAGGTCAAAATTTTGCAGCTCTCCACCGGCACGTGGTGGCGTCTCCATATGAGTGAAAGATTCTCGAGAGGGACGTTAAACAATAATCAAACAAACAAAAATCATCGAACTTGGATCTTTAAGAATGTGTTGCACTCCTGACCGTAGAAATATGAATCTGAAACACAGACAGATCCTTTAATTGATATATTTATTTAATACAATTGTTCTTTGTGTCTTTATTTTCCAAAACAGAAATCAGAGATTCGTAAATTGATAAAGGTTTTTCCAAAACATCAAATGTTGCACTCCTGTCATCAATGGGTATGCACAGATACTTGATTCTCATTAATGCTACATGTGATTCTTTTTTGACTTTCTTGTTATAAACATTTTTAAAATCAATGATTTTTTGGAAACATTACTTTTTTTCTGTTGCACTCCTGACACGGTATTACATTTTTCAGCATCAGCCGTGATCATAACCTGGACAAGCAAAACTTACCACATTCTAAATTTAAAGCTAAATACATTTAATTTAATCAGGAACTTCTTTATTTCCAACATAAACCATTATTTTTTATTTCACAGATCTTTGAAAAATATTAAATGTTCAAAATGTCACAAAAACGTGTAGCACTCCTTATCATTTTTATGCATAACTTTTCTGTGACTTAAAATATCATTGAGATATTTTGCAGGTACCCGGTATTTAGAAAAAATAAAAAAAATGTTTCCGGTCATTTTTTTTTAATTCACCCGTATGGTATACCACTTTGTAAAAGACTCTTTGTAATAAAGCTCAAATCGGCGATGAGTTTATTTTGTACTAGAATGTAAAGCTTTACTAATTGTAAGAAAAGATTACCTGGGTAATTATTACTCTCATAGACCCAATCTTATTAAATATATGGAACTAATGGCAACCCAAAACTAGGAAATCATGTGAAAACTGTGTTTTTCCAAAAATTACGATGCTGTCTGTCCTCCTTATTTCTTTTTTTTAAATTGAGTTTTTTCAGGAAGTTGCGTTCAAATTCATACATATTTTGAATTTTCCGACAAACCGATTACAGATTTTCTAACCGATTATCATCATTCCGACTGAGTAGCCTGCTAACCGATTACAAATAACCATCCCTTATATATAAGTTATAAAAATTCTGCTGTAGGACATCATCCAAGAAGTTCTGCGGTCCAGAAATACTTATTACTGAATGGTGGTGGTCCTTGTAACATTTCTGTCCCACCAACATGTACGTCTATCAACATTTCAACGACTGACTGGGGATTCCATGGAAATCATACGTATTATATAACGGTAAAAGCAGAAAATGTGGCCGGCCTAACAACTTATGGAGTATCCGAACCCTACCTCCATAATGTACAACTACCGTCAAAAGGGATTGTTATGGATATTGTGGTATGTCAGGAGTACTTTGAGTATAAAGCAGTTCTCTGCTATTAGATCGTTATCATTTTCTTCAATTGACTTTAAAAAAGATAAAAGTAAACAAATTTATAATAAAAATTCTGAGGTACCAAAGTGGGGAAAAATCTTACGCAGGACAATTTAGACTTGGCAACAAATTCTGTTGATTGGAAAAACATATATATGAATGCGATTAAAACTTACTGCGAAAGGAAACTTCTTATATGCTTTTTTCCAGGAGAATGAACAAGAAGGCTCCATTGTAAGTAGATTTTGTACAACTTGGGTCATAAAATGAACATACAATCGTTATCATTTGTTTCAATTATATTTCTTTGAAAAAAAAACCCTTAACGGTTACAGGTCGATACGGAAGACATTGACTTTACCTCCAAAACTACAAGCCTCTCTGCCCACTGGACTGGGTTCTTCCACACCTATCTTGACCTTGAGTACTTCTTCCGTGCTGGAACAACTCCTGGAGGCAATGACATATTCCCACAAACCAACGTTGGTAGAAATTCTTCATATACAGCAACAGGATTAAACCTAACCTTTTTTAACGTAAGATACTATATATATATATATACAGATTCTGGGGATATTTATTAGGTTATTACCAGACCTTTATTTGTATTCATATGAAGCAGAGTTTGTCCAAAATCTTGTACGTGAAAAGAAGAAAACACTTGCTGTGGCCTTTAAGTCGACATTTAGATATATCGACGACGTATTGTCAATTAACAATGGCTATTTCCATTCTTATCTCGATACGATATATCCTGTTGAGCTTGAGATAAAAGATACCACAGAGTCTGACACATCTGTTTCATATTTGGATATTTTACTTGAAAAAGATGTTAATGGTAATCTAACAACCAAGCTTTATGATAAACGTGATGACTTTAACTTTTCAATCGTCAACTTCCCTTACTTATGCAGCAATATACCTTCATCATCTGCGTACGGGATATATATCTCTCAGTTGATTCGATACGCAAGAGCATGCTCTACGTATGTACAATTTCTAAAACGAGGTAAATTATTGTCAAAAAGGTTGATGAAAGAAGAATATCAGCTGTCTCGGTTAAAGTCATCATTTCGTAAGTTCTATGGTCGATACAATGACCTTGTCAGCAAATACAATTTATCATTGAGTCAAATGCTGACTGACATTTTTCATACTAATTGTTAGGCCATTATTTACACACTGAATTGTCGACGGATTTTTCCGTTATTTCCCGATCATGACAAGGAGCACACGGCGGGTGTGACCGGTCGGCAGGGGATGCTCACTCCTCAATGGCACCTGATCCCACCTCTGATGTTTGTCTGTGTCTGCTCTACTCCTATTTTGTATTGTTTAATGGACTTCTGAGCTTGAATACTGTTCGTTATCTCCATATATTTCATTTGGAGAAAGATTTACAATCATTGCTGTGAAACATTTTACATTTCACATTAAGCGTGAAAATGACCTTTCATTGTTACAGAAATACTACGTTACTATAACTTCAAACACTTCTGCTGGTAGTGTTGAGGCCTCATCCGATGGCGTTATCGTTGTCAAGGAAAATGGGTCATTCAGCGGGATCGTTGTTTATGATGGAGAACCTTGTATCATTTCAGGTGAGAAGAATTACGGTCAGTATCTTCCCAGTCATATCTCTATTCAGCTTTACATTATTGATAAAACATTATATTTTTTTACAGAGGAAAACGTCTCCTTTACTCACCATGACGAAGTACGTATGAAACGTAACATTTATCAATAAATAATTGTCTTAATGTTTACGATAAATTCAAAATTACATATTGTAGCTTTACCTCATATTAAAAAAAATAAACCTATAATATATGCTTGATGTATATTACAGGACAATAGGTTACCGTGTCTTGAAGACAATGATTACCAGTCATCAACTGATATACTCAGTGCACACTGGAAAATTCCTCAAAATGTCACCATATTTGCGCCAGATGTGTTTATTTTGTTAGAAGTTATGTCTTCATTAAATAGTGAGTAATGCCTTCTTAAATAGTAAATAATAATAAAAAAAAGCTATCTTGGTTCTTATTCTGCAAACTTGTCATAAATTAGAATTATTAACAATTAAAAAATTTTTGTGTGAAAATTACTATTACAAGTCACTATGCATTTGCAAGTGTACAGGAAAAACCTTTCAGAAGATGATTTCTGATTAAAAATGAGTAAATTTGAAATTATGTAAAAAATAAATACTTAAAATATACAGTGTATCCTTTTTAAATAGGTAGATGGGAGGTTTTTAGAGATTTTATGTATATCTTTGGACGTAAAGAGATAAAGCGCACTCGATTGATGCTTAGTCCAGGCATGAAATACCGTGCTGTTTTAAAACTTTGTGCTAGCGAGATCTGTTACAAACCTGTGTTCAGTGACGGCGTAACGGTTCTCGCTAATCCACCAGTTACCGGCGATATCAAAGTACACCACCTCAACTCCTCAGATGTTAATAAAGAGCAGGTTTGAAAATTTCCCCAGATTTTTCAATTCTTTTTTATATAATTCGTGTAGTTTATAAAGTCGTTTATTTCTTCTACATTAGATCGGTTTATTACATGTTTTTACATAATTTGGTATATGATTACAGAATAATTATTATAACATTTTTACGCTATAGACAATATCAATACAGATAAGAAATAAATGTATCATGCACTAAAGATGAGTTATTAGACTCAATTTTCTTTAGAACAGACAACTACTGTTAACTAAGATATGCATACATCAGCATACGTATTTTTGCCAAATTTGACTATATAACCAACTCATGATTCTGATATTTTTAAAAATGCTCTGAGTAATAAAATTGTAGAGCTTGGAACATTTATATTTTTCAGCTTAATGTAAAGATGGACAGATTTTATGATCCAGATATCCAGAATTTTAACGACAAGTATGATGCGGTGGACAAATATGAATGGGCTATTACAGACCAATCCAAAATAGGACGGACACATACACAGTGGAAAAAACTTAATAATATTACGATTTCCTTGTCTAAAACAGAGGTAAAATTTAGCTTGCAAATTGTAAACAACTTTTAAGTATATCTAAGTTATATCTGACTATCATTCATAAAGGATTTCATGTACATATATTCATTTTGAATGAAATTTTTGATCGAAAGAAACTTGATAGGAGCACCAAAGTTTCTGAAGAGTTTTAAACAAATTTAAGATTTTACCAAAATATTTTTAACCCTTTTTTTCTAAAATTAGTAGATTATCCATTGGTTTGTAAAAAAAAAAAAAAAAGAAAAAGAAAAGAAAAAAAACCCCATCTGTTTTAGTTTTTTAAACTGCTAGTATGACAGATTTTGAAAAAATTTTCAGTTATATCTATTTAAAAAATAAACAAACAAAATAGCTGCATAATGATTATGCCATCTCTATAGATTACATTTACACTTGACTTGGAAGGAAAATTTGATTTCTCCAAATGTCGCGGCCTTGCCATCCGTGGTTATAACAAAGCCAAGTTGTATTCCACTGTTTATTCGCACATTAAAGATTGTGAGGCATTCGACCCCGTTCTTATCAAACCAAAGGTGGTCATAGACGCAGTTGGAAAACCGGACCCTGATAGAGGTTTGCTTAGAACCTTAAACAATTGAAGCAGCATTGATTTTCTATTGAGTATTTATGTTATCGAAATAATAAAACACTTACTTTTAGACGGATACGGGGATCCAATCATTTTGGAAACAAATGCTCACTGGCCTTATCCTGATCAAGATTATACACCAAATATGAACTACATATCTGCAGTGTGGCCAAAGCTCCGATATGATTTTTACACCGTAGCAGTTTTGAATGCCAGAAGCATTGATGTCACAACATATTACCTGCCAACAAATACTCTTTCTCTATCGGATCCATGCACGCATCCTGATGCAATCAAATGCTCTACCACAGGTTACTATGTTCCTTCTAGTTTAGATCCTAGTATTATATATTCATTTTATAGATTTATTAGATTGACTCTGAATCTCCAGAATATAGTATAACAGTATTATATTTTCCCCCAATATTTTTCATTATAGAAAACGAATTCATTAACTTCAAATTTAAAAGAGGCGAACTCGTTCATGGACAACGTTATATAGTTTGTATTCACGCAAAAAATACAAGTAAGATATACGAGGAATGGACAGAGGTACTTCCTGAAATTAATAAGTGTAGCGATGGAGTTGTTCTTGATCTAACCCCTCCGGTGGCAGGAAATGTTTGGATTGGCACAAAGCAGGGACAAGAGTACCAGGTTGAAGAATCAAATTATTTAACTTCTGCCTTATATTATTTTTAAGATCTAGAATCCAACATTAAATGTTGCATTTATTTCAGTCTTCGAGTTCTGTTCTGTATATCAACTGGGATTCGTTCCAAGACGTTGAGGACTTTAAAACAATATCTCATGCTTCTGGGATACAAAACTACAGACTTGGAATAGGTAGCTCTGATTAAGTATACATGTATTATAAATAAGATATTATGTTAAAGTAACTTCATTAAAGTAACATTTCTTGTTTAGGTACATCTGCCGGAGGAAATGATGTGGTTGCATTTTTTGATGTTGGGGTTGTCAACCATAAGGCAATTCACGGCTTATCATTAATCAATGGGCAAAGCTATTATGCAACCCTTTCTGGTGAGCTATCAGTCATTCTAACAATAGTTCTTAATAATTATCTACGTGTACATGTACTTACATTTACTGACTTACTCTCATATTTCATGAAATGAATTGAAATACAAACTTTAACCCATGTTCTGTTATGCAATGTCGCATCAAAAGTGTCCATCGCTGCCATTGCCAAGGAAGCAAAAAATCTTAAAGAAAATTGAAACTGTGAAATCTATGTATGATGATATATTTTGTGCTGTTTAATGCTGTTCTTTCTCATTAAAAGAAAAGTGTTTCTATTCTATTGTGTGAAAACTTTACAGAAAAGCAATATCAAGTATTTAAAAATAAGATATATATATATATATATATATATATATATATATATATATATATATATATATATATATATATATATATATATATATATATATATATATATATATATATATATGATTGCAATATATATATATATATATATATATATGAAGGTTGATCCAAATATAATGTCACAACTGCTATAAAAAAAACTTTAATAAATGAATAATCGAAAGTTATTGACAAAATAATAATACCTACATGTACTTATACCTCTTTTTTAACTTTTGACAACGAAAAGAAACGTCAGAACGTTATTACATGTATCTTAATATTTTATTAAGTACTTATACAGCAGTATGAAATTTTAAGACAAAAATAAAGAAAAGATATAGGTTAATTGATTTCTTAAAATTTTATTAATAACATTTCATTATTAAAGATTTATAGCAGATTGACATAAATTTTGGATCAACTCTTGTATATATAATTAAGAAGTACAAGATACTTGTGCTATTTTTTTTTCTAAAGGTACGGACTTTGCAAACAGAACCACAATCAAGACATCTCTACCAATGATCGTTGACATTACTCCACCTAAGAAATCTGATGAACCTATTACTATAGGGAACAGGCACATAACTTCTGATACCGAAATAGCGGCCTGGTAAGTAGCCCTAACCATATCATACTTTTAAGAACCCTTCAAATGATAATAAAACTAAGAAATATTTATTCTGTTTGAAAGCATAATATCCACAAAAGATTTTTGTCTGTTGGTTTTATCTTTTTCTCAATCGACAGCTGGAAAAATGTATTCCATGATCCTGAAAGTGAAATTTCCTATTACGAATGGTCAATCGGTTCCAAACCGGGGTATGACGACGTGATGAATTTCACTCGTACGTACATGGATTGCTCCGAAAATAATGAAATTGGTCGTCTTCAACTTAAAGAGGGACATGCCTACTTTATATCGGTCAAGGTAACCACTTGCCTAAGCACATGATACAAATGTAAACTATTACTTATCTAAAACCCAAGGGTAAATGGATTTTGATTTCTTCCCAGGCAGTAAATAATGCTGGCTTAATGTCAATAGCAACTTCTTGGGCATATACCGTAGATTTAACCCCTCCCACTACTGGCCATGTTTTAGACATCAACCCGAAAGGAAAGGAAGTGCTTGACATCGATTTTCAAACAGAGACCTCTAAATTGTTCATTATATGGGAGGGATTCTATGATCCTCACTCCTCAATTAATGAATACCTGGTCAGTATCGGATCATGTTCTAGGTGTGAGGATGTATTGGTTGAGCAAAGTGTTGGAGTTAAAACTGGTATGTACAGTACAGTATTCACCAATATAAATTAATGATATTTTCATCTTTGAATGCATTTCTTTAAATACATTTATTTTCCACAAATAATTGCACAGAATTGTTGATTGATAATGTGCATCTTGGAGTCGGTATAACCTATTACACAACTGTAATGGCTTGTAATTCGGCGGGCCTCTGCAGTGAAGCTACCTCGGACGGAGTAATCATTGACAACAGCCCTCCAAGTATGGGCCGAGTTATAGACGGAACAGACTTACAAGATATTGAATATCAGTCGGCAAGGTATTTTGAAACTTTTTTGTTTTTAAAAACAATATATTGATTGGACTTTTTGTAAAGAAATTGATTCATTTATACTGTGAAAAATGCGACAGGTACAATTAATGAAAGATGAATATCACTTCAGCTTAAATTTTTTTTGAAAAATAGAAGATACCGGTATACCGGAAACATATTTTCATTTCAGAAATTTCATCAGTGCACGGTGGTTGGGGTTCAATGATCCTCAATCAGGACTTTCTCACTTTGTTTGGTGGGTTGGAACAACTCCAGGAGGAGATGAAATTCTTCTAGAGAGAGAAGGACATATAGCAGAAGTGGCAATAGCTTTGAATATCACTCCATTAATGCCTGTTGGAAAGCGCCTCCATATCTCAGTTAGAGCTTACAATAATGCAGGTACATTCCATCAAAATTCAAAATGAATCTATGTTTAGAAGGATGAAAATAAGATCTGTTTTATGATAAAGTACAATTTTCTTAATTTCAGTTATGAATTATTTTCTTCCTTTTTTTTTAAACAAATGTAAGATTTTAATATATAGAAGCAATTGTTTTATATATCACATTAATAAAGCACTGTAACAAGAAACATTGTTTTAGGATTATATACAGAGGCAACATCCAACGGGTTCTTAATAGATAATTCTCCTCCGGTGATATCCAGAGGTCCAGTCTTTTCAAAAGACTTTGGAGTGAAAGATAATACACAGTTTTACAGAACTTTAATGAAAGTCGATTGGGATGTTAGTGATCCTGAGTCTAATATAGAAAGACAGTATATATCTCTACAATCTCATATGGGAGGAGATTTTGATCTTTCTTCAACACAAGTAAGACAAAAAAATATCTTAATTATTTATAGATGTATTTGATTGATTGTATGTTTTTTTACGTCGAGAATTTTTTACTCGACGTAAAGGGCTTTAAATTTAGACCTTTACTCGGCACTCAGGGCCATTGAGCAGTGAGGGTTCTTTATCGTGCCAATGCCTACCGTGACACAGGGCCTCGGTTTTTAAGGTCTCATCCGAAGGATCCATAACTTTCACTTCAAAATGCCGAGCGCTTGGCGAAGGAACAGTTGCTACCTATTTTTTCATCGACTTAGGTCCGTTGCGGCCATGATTCGAACACACGACCTCCCGATCACGGAGCGAGCGCTCTACCGACTGAGCTAGATGTATTTGAATAATGAGAGTATAATCTTTTAAAGTAAAGGGAAAAAGTTTACTGTTTAGATGGCTGTTGTAAAGTTTTACAGTACTGATGCCCAAATTCCTAAGGTTATCAATAACAAATTTAAACATTTTCAGCCTTTCTAATACTATATTTTTAAGTAGTGCACATTAGATTTAGAAATTGTTCATTCCAATTTGGAACATTAAGGTCAACAGCCACTGATAAATTCTCAGAAGAATAAAATGAAATGTATGGAGATAACGAGCAGCATTCAAGCTCAAAAATCCATTAAACAATAAATTTTGGAGCAGAGCAAACACGGACCTCTAAAACATCAGAGGTGGGATCAGGTACTACTCTGTGAAGTAAGTTCGACTTCTTATTTCCAATGAAAAAAAAATATATACATGTCAATGCCGTAGGATGTCTGCAGGATTCCAACTGAAGCACCAAGAAAAATCAACAGTTCAGAACAGATTTATTTTGTATAAACTGTATTGTGGTTGTATTATTACAAGTGGAAAAATAGATTAAGCTAAGATAGCTTTGTAAATTTGCTATATACAATCAACGACGGTTTATCTCCGTCAATAGTTATGACTCAAATGTATTTTCACAACAAAATGTGAGTTAGTCTTAAATGATTAACCTGAAATCCACTTCTTATGATTTATATGCATGTACGAAAAAGAGAAGCTCTTGCATTTTCACTTATTTAAGTTTCTCAATACCTTAATTTTTTTTAAATTTTAATTGAAGATTTCCATTTACTGTAAACCATTTTTTAAAAAAAAAAATAATGATAATGATTTCCATTTACAAGTATATTAGAATTTTAGGTCAACATGAATTTTAGCTTATGCCAAAATTATAACAGGATAATATTGATAAAATATTTAAAAAAAAATCATCGATTTTTTTTTTCTACAATGTACACATGCACACAGATTTATGATTCTGCTCATGTATAACCAGTTTTCATATTTCCCAAGTCCATGTTGATATGCATATATATTGAATTTAGATTTAACAATTTGACCCATTTGCTACATTTTGACGAGACAGAATATCTTGAATGTGCTCATTTCGCAGGACACTGAACCCCCCCCCCCAAAAAAAATGAATTTGTGGTTTAATTTTTTTGGAGTTCAAAGTTCTCAAAGATTCAAACAATATCACACTTGCATTGTAAGTAGTTTGAAGGTTTGCCATTCAACTAGGAAAATAATTTGATATTCTTGTATAGGATTTGCATTTTGTATTAAAATGTCTAAGAAATACTGGTGTTGAAGTTTTCCGTTTTGATAGTTCCAATTGATATATGCTGATTGTAACCTGTTAATCCAAGTTTTCTCCTGTAGATTAATGGAATAGCCAGGGACTTTGTTATAACTGGATTAAATTTGCATGATGGAGTTACATATTTTATCACCATTGTATCATGTAATGGAGCCAAAATCTGTTCTACTAGTAATTCACCTGGAATTTTGGTTGACAGCACACCACCAAATAGAGGTTGTGTATTTTTTTCCTTACAAAGATAGATTAAAAAGTCCCTTTTGACTTGCAATGCAATAAAACAATTGCATATGAAATGAACTTGTTAAAAATAATCGTTCTTCATACTTAAATTTGTACCAAATTATGTTAAGAATTCTGCAGAGCAAAATTTTTATCGAAAAGATTTGTATTTCTATTAAAGGCTAGAAATCTATACCTGTGTTTTAAAATTAACCAGGATTGATTTGTATCGTTTTGATATCATACTATTCGTTTACGTTTGAAATAATTTGTAGTTTTTTATTTTGTTCCATCACAGGTATGTTTGCTATAAAAACCGATCATGCAGCAGAGCTACACCGTCATCTGAATGATTCTATGACGTGGACCAAATACACATTAAACCTAGCTTGGCTTGGATTTGCTGATATACATTCTGATGTTCTTTATTATTTTATAAATGTTGGATCATACTATATGGGGGCTGATTTAAACAATGTAAGTCAAATGACCTCTTTGAGCTGTTGATTCTTTCTTTCGTTCAGGACGTTTTCGGAAATTTTATGTATTTTAAAATTTTAAAGGAACCAGGACTTTCAGAGAGGGTAAATCACACAACAACAGGCGCAGATAGATTTGATGAAGGAAAAGTTCAGACATCAAGAATTAAAACAACTAAACTTGGTCCAGAAATAACACATGTATATGTCAGCATGTGGGCTGTAAACAAGGTACATTGGTTCAGAAATGCTAGAACCTTTATGTTCTCAATCTTTAAATTAAAGTACATGTAAAACACACACACACACACACACACACACACACACACACATATATATATATATATATATATATATATATATATATATATATATATATATATATATATATATAGGATTAACTGTAATACAGAATTGCTAATCTGTGTTCGCATGACGTTTTGAAGATTAACCGATTATTGGAATTAAAATACACATTTTCCTGACATATTTTATCCTGACATTTTTTTCAAGTAAGCTTTATTCATATACACATGAAACTTAAAAAACACGTTTGTATTATTCTACGTGTGCTTGATCAGAACAATATCTATGTATTTTATTTCAATATCAATAGGCAAGAACTGATAATTTTTAAGACCAGATGTCACACTCGGTCATTTTACATAGTCACCATAATTAGAATCTGAGTCTGAACTATCACTTCATTTACAATGTTTGTTTAATAATATAATTTGACAGATAACTTCAAAGTGTAGACGGGGTAAGATAACATTATAAACAGCTCTCAGTAAATAACGGCTGGGTAATCGACATGATGTTTATTAAGGAATCACTGTCTAGTTTGTTGGGTATGCCAGGGCATCAACGATAGTTGGAAACGTGGGAAAATTTGCATAACGGGCATATGATTCCTTATATTTACATTTAGATGTGAAATAAAATTGTAAATATAAATTTTAAAAAAAAAGCTCTCTAATAGATTTTAAATACACGAGGCCTCGAATGTTAATTTCAATAGTCCCCGCCCACTGGCGTCAGACACAAACACAGCCGCACGAGATTGACATGCATATAAGGCTCCTGACCTTTCACCTGGCGAAATTAACATTCTGGTTGGATTATCAAGAAATTAACTCACCTAACTTTCAAAGAGTTATCACAGAGAAAACAATTAGAAATGGAAATGTAACATCAACACTTCACAAACTGACCAATTACCGGGTACTCCCCCATTCTCATACTCGAATTATTGGGCCTTAATTACCTCCAGATCAGCTGAAATAAATGTGACAACCTAGCTTATCAACATTCAAAGGTTTCTCTCAAATCAATTTCAAGGAAATTGCATTCAAATTTACATATATTTTAATTTTTTGACTAAGTGATTACAGATACCAGTGTTTCGACCGAGAAACCGGTCAACCGGTTACAAATTGCCATTGCAACATAATGTTTTATATACATAATGTTATATTACAGGTCGGATTATCGAGTTCTATAATTCATTCAAAATTCAGAAAGTTGCCAGACGGCAGCCTGTTCCTTGTAAGAAGGTGCGAGGCTGCAACATGTAAAGGTCATTGCGTTTGTGCACCACAAGACCAAGTCTGTCATCATAACAATGAAACGTCATGCAGTGATGTATCTAGCAGTAAATAATCCACAAAATTTTATTGACATGTACAACAGAGTAATGAAAAGATACAAGATTTAAATATTATTGATAATACTATAGTAAAGATTGTTTTAATTTTTAGGAAACACTAACAATTTGCTACAAGTGATAGATGTTATGTCCAGTCAAATTGACATAGATTATACACCAAGTAACACACTTTTGCAAGGTCGATGGAGAATTGTTCAACGACAAGGAAAAGTGCCACTCTGGTAAACGTATCATGATCTTAAATTCTGGCATAGTTTTAAAAAATTGAACTATTTTCCCATAAACTTACGTGATGAATTTCATTTGAATATCTTTATGATTAAGGAGGGCAGCTCATATGTAAATAAAAAGATAATACAGTGTAAAATATTTTGTTGTTAGGTACGAATGGAGTGTAGGACTAACACAAAATAACCAGCCAACTGGAATATTTCATCAAGAAATTGATCGTGTTTGGCAAGATGCTGGGCAAAATAATTTAATGATTTTCTCAACAAATCCAGGTAACTCCAAATGAATTTTAAAACAAACTAAGGGATTGATATATTAATGTAATTCTTTGGCGTTAAACTTACGTAAATATCTTTTTTTTTTCAATAGGCTTCATTTTGGAAGAGGACGAAAAATATTCAGTTTTTGTTAGGGCATGGTATAGTCACACCTCCTTTGCCATCTTTAAGTCTAATGGTGTTACTGTCGTTACTGGAACGCCATCCGTGACCAATGTACTTGGAAGTGCCGTAAGTTGAACTTTTTCCAGACAGAAGTCATTTACAAACCAGTTCTGGATTAATATTGTGGCCCTGTGGATTTTTTAAAATTTCTTTTTTATAAGCCGTATTCCATAACTATAATGGGAAACAACAAGCATTTATTTTCATTTTTTTCAAATACAAGATATATTAACAATGAAATATAAACTTGATTTTATTTCCAAGAATATTGCTTTTTGAAAAGGTATGTGAGAGGATGATGGATAGCAAGTTTAAAGATCAAGATTTTATCCTAGATGGCGTGTCTTTTGTGGTTGATTGGAAAAATAAATTTGTAGATGCGGAGAACATTATTCGATCGTTTCAGCTTTATATCAGCACACATCGAGAAGGTATTAAATTATCTGAGTAATTATTTTAAATGTCTTATTGTATGCTCCTAATACATGTAATAAGCAATTACCATCACATTATCCCTGTTTTCATATTTCAGGTCATGACATTTGGGAAGGAAGCAAAACTTTACAAAGTACTCAAACATCATATCGCGTCAGGAGAATTTCACTGATCCCTGGTGTTCAGTACTACAGCAATGTTATTGCTTACGGATTATCTGGGATCCATCATACAGAAGTATCAGATGGATTTATCGTGGACAATGTAAAGCCAACAGCAGGGGTAGTTTATGATGGAATAGGTTTGTTCATTACATTAAGAATTAAACAAATTGATAAGTCCATTGTTGAAACTGTCATATCTTTAAAGATTACCAATATATCAGCCCCCTAAAAATGGAAAATATAACAAAATTATACTATAGATTATTAGAATTTTTGTTATTTGAGAAACCGATGTTTCTAAGAATGATTTTTAATTGGTTACTAATTTTTACTAGGTTTACATGATCTTCAATATCAAAATATATCAAATGTTGTCGGTGCAAGATGGCATGGGTTTGCAGACACGGGATCTGGAATCTTTCAGTATTACTGGTGTGTTGGAATGTCTCCTGCTCTTAGCGAAGAACACTCAAAAACGGAATGTAATGTCCAAGAATGGTACAGAATTGGAATGCACACATACATCTCAAGGACACTATCTCAAAACCTCACAAACGGTTGACCAATTTCTTCCTTTTACCAATTTTCTACTTTTGTGTGCACATTAAATATACAGCAATTCCAAAATACCTTTATATATTTCTTTTTTCTGCAGGACAAACCCTATATAACAAGGTATATGCCATTGATACCGTGAATTCCAAGTCGTCAATTGCAGTTTCAAATGGAGTAGTTATTGACATTACACCTCCGCAACCACAATATCTGTTTCATGAGGATAATAATCTAGCGAAAAATCCATCTTTTGAAAACTCAGAGAAAAACATTTCCATAAACAATATAAATCATACGAATGTTTGTTTACTGAACTCAGACTACCTTCCTCACAACTGGACTCTAACACCTGAAAGCTGTGGAGTTGTTGTATCTACAAATAAAAACTTAGCAAAGAGTGGGAAGTCATTTCTTTATGTAAGAGGGAGTATTACACAAAACATCAGTAGACTGATCTCAAAAGAACTTTACCGAGTGAATTTTTTCAGTAGTCATTTACTTATATACATATCAAAAATATCAAGTAAAGAGGGATTCATAAATATTGGAAAAACAAAACACGTATTTATGCTGTACACTAAAGCATATCGACAGGACGAGCATGGAAAGTCGAAAAATAGAGAGATTGTTTCCTGGCACAGACATACTTTCTATTTCATTGCTCCAGACGATTGGACTGTCTTGGAGATAGGAAGTAATGACAAGACCGGTTTATTCTTGGATGATATAACGCTACAAAGAGTTGAAAGAAATAATATAAACAAAACGGAGGGTTCCCATGTCAATGCCCACGTGGTGTATCTTCATGAATGGGGTTCCATACATGGATCTTGGAGTTTTGTTGAAGATATAAGTGCTATCAAAGAGTATAAATGGGCAATTGGTAATCATATTTCAATTGATATAGCGAATGATATTTTCATTAACCATGATAACTGCTGTGCACAACGTTACTGTATTCCACAAAAGAACTCTATTTACTCGGTACTTTTGTCTGTAAAATGAGTGTCTTTTGCTATTTCAGGTTATACAAAAGGTGGAACTCAACTGCAAGGCTTTAAAAGTGTTGGAATCAGCAACTTTGCATACAATTCAAACGTAACTCTTGTTCATAAAACATACATACATGTAACAGCCCTAGCTATCAATACTGCAGGACTGCAAGGAATTTCTTACTCGAAGCCAATTATTGTTGATTTAACTCCACCAATTATTAGGAGCGTTAATGATGGCAGATTGTTGAGTATGCTATTTTTATTTGCACATTTGGACCACTATAATCTATTTATTTTTTGAAATAATCACACATATTTTCAGGTTTCCTTTGAACATTTTGTTTCTTCTTCAGATGTGGATGAAGATGCATGGACAGACAATGAGGTAGCTGTGAACTTTGACGTCGAGGATGAAGAATCCGGAATCGATTTTTGTGAATGGGCAATAGGTAAGATTGTTAAAATGAAAGTCAAAAAATATGAAAAATGGTTAAGAAACAATCTTATATCTGAAAACTCACACATTTGTTGCAGGATTCCAACCACAAGGCATCGAGTTGCAAAGCTTTGTTCGTTTATCAGAATCTTTGAGGACAGCCTTTACGGACTTTCCTTACATTAAACTAGCTAACAGGACCTTGTTTTCTACAATTCGTTGTCACAACCGTGCTGGACTGACAAGTTCCAGATCCACGAATGGAGTAAAGATTTCTATTCGTCATCCTTCAATTAGACATGCTGAAATCAATATTATTCCGCTATCTACTACAGAGTATCCAGCCAAAAACCACTACCAAAGTGTAATAAACAATATCAGGATTCAGTGGAGCGGATTCGAGGATTACGTAGGCCTGGATCAATACAAGGTATATAAAAATAATATATACACGAACCATTATTGTACTTTGTGGCACACATACTTTTCCTGTAGAAGATTCTTAGCAAAAAACACAAAACAAAACAAAACAAAAACAAACAAACAAAAAACAAACAAAAGAAATATCAGACATTTTGCAGCAATTGTGATGATTTAGTAGAGAACTGTAATTGAAATTTTCACTTTGCTGTCGTATCACAAGAAGATTTTAAAAACATATATATTATTCTTTTTATTTGATTACAGATTACCTGTTCTAGTGGCAATGACACAATAGAAGAAAAGATGTCGTTCCCAAATGGGCAAGATATTTTGAGCGCGAACATCATCAACATGAATATGTCACAGGGTTTGAAGAATATTTCAGTCCAAGCTATAAATAAAGTTCTGCTAAAAAGCAGAAATGTCCAGTCTAACTTGACCATTGCAAATGGGAAACCAAAAAAAGGTAGGAGGACAACATTTGTGCGTTCTAGAATCAAAATTTTCTGTATTTTTATGCTATATTGCTTCATCCCTCATTGATGTCGTTTATTTACGCAATTGTCTTTTCTTTCATTGCAGCAAATAGGGAAATGATAGTTAACTGGCATTCTGGGAAAAATGAATTCACAGTTTTCTGGGAAGGAATTTTCTCCTCTCCGTACACTTTGTATTATGAAGTGTCAGCGGGCACCGTGGAAGGAGGAAGCGACATTCTACAGTGGCAGGAGACCACATCCACAAATATCACATTTGGTCTCCCTCTGTCGGTCACAAACTGGTCAGGTCTACATGCCCACATCTTTGTAAGGGCCATAAGTGTGGGAGGAGAATTTGATAACATTAAAGGGTTTATTAGGCTTCCGAAATAAGTCATATAAATGTGATTGTGATATATATATATATATATATATATATATATATATATATATAGAGAGAGAGAGAGAGAGAGAGAGAGAGAGAGTAAAACTAGGGTATAGCGAAGTTCCGGGGAACTGCGAATTTAAACGCTATACATGTATTTGTAATTTGTTATATCTGTATAACGCATTCGTTAAAGTATACATAGCGATTTCGCAATATAGATATTTTCCATTCAAGTATGACTACCAAATGTATTTAGGGAAGTATATAAAAGAAAAAGACCACCAAATTGAAATTTAAAAAAAACATCAACTACCCATAAAATATTTTTCACTTATATCATCATATTGTACATGATTTCTTGTTAAAATTCCTGAAGTTGCAATGAAATAGAGAATTGGATAATAAAGTTTCAGAATTTTTATTAGTAAAACTATTTGAAAAAAGAAAATATCACTATATCCTAAAAGACTTTCTATAATACATAATCAAAAGAAATTATAGTTTTTATGCTTCAAAATGGTATCAGAGATATAAATGATTAGATCTAAACCTTGATTGAGTTTCTTCTCTTGTATATGTGGAAAAAATTTGGCTTTTTGATTGTTATTTTATATCATTTTTTAATTCTTGTTTGAAAAAAGTTTTAATATGAAAGAAATATGGAACAATAAAATTCCCCCAGATCATTTTTGTACATATAAGTCTGTTCTTTAAATTTAAGCCAGAAGAGAATTTTGGCATGCAAGTTTTCTGACAATAAATACTAGATTTTGAAGTGACCCTATGTTACATTACTGTGTTGCACTCCTGACATCTGATATCTAATTTCATTTAACATTGTTTTAAAAATTGTAACACACAATAACCCGTTCTTAGTTTGTAAATCAGTTCGTCGTTTTTTATATTTTTTATCATTTACTTGTTTTTTTAAATATTTTGAAGACTTCAAAACATGGTTATTTGCAATGTGTAATATATATACACTGTATTTAAAAATATGTGTTAAGTGATGAAAACTATTCTCTGAATTGACTGTAAATGTCTGTAGTCAGTGGCGTAGCTTGGGGTCGATCAATGTGAAAGCATAAAATGGCAGGGGGGGGGCACAAGGCCCCGGTGGGACCAAGGCGAAGTCCTGGGGACTCTGGCTGCGAAGCCCCTGGAAGCTGGTGCATTTTAGACAAGTGACGATCGACTTAAAAAAGGTTAATAACATTTTAAACCATAAAATGTTAATTGTTAATTTGTTTTTTCTAAATACTTTTTAGCAGCAGTCTCCCAGATGTCCTTATTATTAGCCTGTTATAGGCCTATATGCTTTTTACATATATTCAATGTTATACATCTTAAACTAAGTATGTATTATCCTTTATAAAATGCTTTTGAAATTTCAGTCATACATGCATGTTTTCATGAACTTGAGTCTTATGAATTATATATAGAAATGATATTCATAAATTTAATATAAATTGAAAAATTAAAACATTAAACAAATAATGCAAACTTTTTCTACAGTTCAGTATTTTCTTCGGAGAGTGTTTCAAATTTATTTTTGAAAATCATTTTAACTTTTTATGAATTCATTTCCCCCCACCGAACAATGTGGAAGCACATGCTTCCGTGCCTCAATGGATGCTACGCCACTGGTAGTTAGTTGATAAACATTTGTTTTGGACATCAAATAGTATCAAACGTTTTCTTCAATTTATTTTTTAGTAAAGATAGAAGGAGATCATTGATAATTAAAGAACAGTTTTGTTGCACTCCTGACTGCAGTAAAATTAAAAATTGAAACCACAGAACACAAAAATTCATAAAGTGTCGGCGACATCAAGTGATAACAAAAGTGTGCAATATTTATAGTCCAATACTTCATAACGAAAACACATGAAAGTATTTAAACTTGGCTTTATATCTTGAATTATTCTCTATTTATGTAAAAAAAAAAACTAGCTAAAATATATATTAAGAAGATAAAAATATATTTTATAGTATATTTTCTTCACAGGACAAACACTATAAGCAACTGAGGTCAACCAGAAACATTCTACTCATCACTTTTTTCTTTATATTTATTCATATTTGATCAGTAATAATTCTAAGATATTTGTTGCACTCCTGACCAAGAGCACAGGAGTCTTTAAGGTAGAATTGTGAAGCGAAAATTATATCAGAACTTATTCTGTTTTTTCAGTGAAGTTGAGGTGGAATTTTTTGAACTTTATAAAATTTTTCAGTGTTTATTTTTCACATTCTTAAAAAATCAAAGGAAAGATAAAAACACATCCGAATTGATAAAATTGAAAAAAAGAAGGATTTTAATAATAAAACTGTCAATTATTTAGTACTAAAATATTCAAATAGATCATTATTTATTTAATTAAAGAATATTTCTTAGCCTGACCATATAATTATAGATCTGAAACACAGACAGACCCTGTAATTAATAAATCTATTTGGTAAAAATGTTCTCGGTGTCTTTATTTTCCAAAATAAAAACCAGAGAATCATACTGATAAAAGTTTTTTCATGCTGGGGAACAAAACATCAAATGTTGCACTCCTGACATTATTGGGTATACACAGATGCTTGACTCTCATTAATGCTGCTTGTGATTTATATAACATTTTTAAGTTTTAAATTGTATATCAGTTATTGTTATACACTTTGAAAATTCTTTTTTGATTTAATTGTCTTTCAGATTTTTAAAATCAATGTTTTTTTGGCAACACTACATTTTTCGTGTTGCACTCCTGACATGGTATAACATTTTTTTCAACGTCAGCCATGACCACAACTTTGTCAAACAAAAGTTGCTACAGTCCACATTTAAAGCTCAATACCTTGAATACAAAATTTACCTTGGACTTCAAAAGTTTTCGGATGAACTGAGTTTCAAATATGAATGCTTACAAAATTAAAATCAGTTCAATATTTTAAAAATTGAGATCTTTGAAAATTCGCTATAAAAGATTTACATTTCTTTATTTTGAACTTCTAGGTAACACAAAATTAGTTGGCTATGACCATAAATTCGCTTTATCCGAGTTCGCTATAGCCGTAACATTTTACAAAGAATTTCTAGGAATTAAGCCGGGGATTGCAAAAAACTTAGCCATATTCGTAAATTCGCTATGTTCGTACTAAACGAAATTACTATATATATATATACATATTAGGGATGGCAATCGAATACAGAATTGCTAATCGGTTAACCGCAAGACGTTCCGACCGATTAACCGGTTAATCGTATCAAAATACATATTTTCTTTATTCACATACACAAGAAGACTAAAAAGGAAGTTAGACGTTATAAACTATCTGTTTATCTTGATCAGGAAACCTTTTGTATATAATTATGTTTTACTTCAATTTCAATAGACAAGAAACAAATGAAGAAAACCATGTAACGTGCCTGAGAAATCAGACATTTATAATTTTCAAGATGTCACACAAGTTCATTCTGCATTCTTCCTCTCTATACTTTGTTCCAGTTGAGAATAAACTGATCTCTTGTCTTGCATTGTTACTATAACCAAGACTAAGTCTGAACTTTCACTTATGTTACAATGTTTGTCTAAAGCTATAATTTAATAGCAAACGGCAAAAGATAGACGGTTCACAGTGCTCAACTCTGATTAAATTAATATCATTAAAGAATTACAGAACAGTCAGGGTACCGACAGGTTGTTTAAACAGTAATTAACTCTTCACAAACTGACCAATTACCCACGCAATCTCAATCAAGAGAGCCATAATTACCTCCAAATAACCTTAAATAGATATGTGCAAACTCTAAATTATCACCATTTGTGCAACATTTTTTTTTTGAAATAAATTTTAAGAAAATTGCGTTCAAATTTACATATATTTTATTTTTTTCCGACTAACCGATTACAGATTTTCTAATCGATTAACATCGTTCCGACTGAGTAATCGGTTAACCGGTTACAAATTGCCATCCCTAATATATATATATATATATATATATATATATATATATATATATATATATATATATATATATATATATATATATATATATATATATATATATATATATATTGATTTAAAATATATATATATATATATATATATATATATATATATATATATATATATATATATATATATATATATATATATATATATTAAATCAATGGGTGATATATGCAGCAGTTGTATTATCCATTCCTCTGGTAAAAAATTCAAGTATTGTCTAGTGCAGAAGGAAACAATATCCAAATCAGATGGAATAAGATTTTAATAAAATATAATTTTAGAAGTTACAGGTATAATTAGTTATTTTGTTATCATTGACATGTAAACTGTCACACTGAACTAAACACACTCAGCAAGGTTAGCTTGTACATGTATACAGTAATAAGCTCACTTCAGCCAAATTTGTCCGTTGTCTATCAATGGCAATACAATGAGTTCTGTTCGGATTTTGTGAAGTTGAGAAGGAAAAACAATATATTGCAGAAAAAACAGAAGAAATTTATTAGCAAAAATACAATATTGAAAAGAAAACAGCATGTATTTATTTCACTCACTCGCTCTTATATATACAGTGACATATTAAAGCTGTCAACCATTACTCAATTTCACTGATTCTGACGCTTTATATTATTTTTATATAAATATTGCATGTAGTTGAGGTAACATTGAAAATTTTCTATGCGCTATGGATTACAATAGTTTTCTTGTGATGAAAAGTTTTATTGTTACCCTAAAAGGCACGCAATATTTATTATTTTAACAAATGCATATAACGGTGAACCATATGCGGTCAAATTTTGTGTTTGTTTGTTTTTTAAATTTTTGAATAATTTAATTCTGGTTGTAACACGTCATTTGATTGGATAGAAAAATAAATTTATATTGTATAACGTGTTGCCTACGTCACAATGACTTGCGTCAAAAACGTATCAATTCGCTTGACGTTACTTTTAAATTGAGATTTATTAAAAGGCATTTTTGAAGAAGAAATTTTCTTATTTTC